GTGTGTGTGTGTGTGTGTGTGTGTGTGTGTGTATGCACAAAATTCCAGAAGAATGGAGAAGGGATTGTGCTGTGGCCATTCCCCAGGGAGTGATTTCTCACTTTTCTTCTCCTTCTTACTGGCTCTCTCTGTCTCTGGCAAGCGCACGTGCCAGACGAGAAAAACTGAAAACAAACCAAAAAAAGTACACACCAGTACCAACACCAAGAGAGGCTTTCTGCATAAAGTTTAAGGTCGGTTTGCCTTTTCCCCTCCCTCTGTATCCCCCCTGAGGGTCAGCCATGCAACTACACCAACCTGAAGTTTCTTCTCGAATTAATTCTTCTTGCTGGGTGGAACTAGTCATACGATAAACAACTGAGTTCACTTGTTTCTGATCAAATAGTTAATATTAGGTTTGCTTTTCTCTCACCTTTTTGAGAGAGGTTTTTGCTGTAGTGTGCGTGCACATGCCAGGAAGACAGAGAGAGATGGAGAGACAGAAAGCGAGAAATCACCACCACCACCACCCCTGGGAGGATTGGCCACACCGCAATCCCTTCTTCTCCATTCTCCTCTCAGGATCTTGGGCAAGCATGCACACACACCCAGCGTGAGTTTAAGCCACCAGGTCCGGGACTCGAAACGCGGTCGACTACATAGAAGTCCAGCAACATAGCCATTATGCCAACTGCTGGTCCCTTCTCTCACCTTTAACATTTTTATTCTATTTTTGAATATGCAAAGCAGTAGGTGGTAGCAGCTGTTCATAGGAAGCGGGGCTGCAGGTTACTCCACCTGGCATTTGATAAAGACCGTAACAAAAAACCTGAAATTCCTTTTTTTTTTTTAGTTTGCTATAGGGCATGTCCACACACTGAAGAGAGACAGACAGACAGTGAGAAGGAAAGTGAGAAATTACCCCCCATGGGGAGGATGGCCACGCCACAGTCTCCTCTCCCCCCTTCTCCTCTCAGGATTTTGGCCACACGTGCACTGGCTCCCTGGAACCTCAAAGTCAGCCAGGTGGGAGCCAGCGCCTTAACCACCGTGCCACCTGCTGGTCTCAGAAATTCCTTTTTCTGAATAGGAATCTGTTCTTGCCTTCCTGGCCCACAGGTAACCCTCACAGTTGATCTGTGCTTTCTCATGCTCTCTTTTTCTTGATCAGCCTAACAGTTATCTGTTTCATTTGGATTTCTCAGACAACATTTGGTTATATCATTCATCTCTGCTTTGCTTTCTATCTTACCAACCTCTGTTCTTATATTTTACTGCCTTCCTTTAATATTCCTTGGCTTTACTCTGGGGTGTCTTTTCTCCTAACTTCTGGTTTGAATATTTAGTTAATACATTTCTTTTCTTTTTCTTTTTTTTTTTTTTTTTAGAGGTTTTTGCTATAGGGCGCATG